CTTTTTTATTTGTATTTATATACCAAATTGCGTTTACAGCATTACAAAAACTGACCGCCATTACTTTTGTCCAGCACCGTACATAATTGTTATTATTATTATACTAAATTTGGCTTTTTAAAATGTGTTCGAGGACATGATTAATTTGTTTTCTGTCCACAACATCTCTTTACGTGTGTGCTGCCCTCTCCCGTTCCCCTCAACAAATAGCAAATTATCAATACTTGCGTATTGCTCATGACTCCATTATAACAAATCCAGAGAATTACAAAGCAGAATTTATCATCGTACTTCAGTTTTAGTTTGACTTTCCTTCATATTGGAAATAGAGAGTGACACTAAATATATTGTTAAATTATACAAATGTGAGAACTAATGTTCAGTAAAGTGAGTAAAAATACAATTTAGAAAACTTGACATCATTTGACAGTGACAATCTGAGAGCCATGTGTTTTAATTTCCCTCCCATGTTTCTGCAGACTTGTTTCAAAACGACACCTGGCATGTGTGTTTCTAAAATAAACTTTCCAAGCATGGTATTTCAACTGCAATAATTGGGCCCTATCCGCTCAGTTGCTAGTCCCAAAGTGATTCTATTCAAAGTAATTTGAGTCATTTGAATCAGTTGTAAGTAATTGATTCAAGAAATTTTCCTGAGACTTCAACAGCTCTAATAGTAACACCATAGTTATATGGACGTTTGCAAAGTAATTGCCTTTAAACATTGTTGAGATTGAATGAAGTTTCGAAAAGCTTTGCTGAAACAATGCAAAAAATCTATTGATATCAGGTTATATTACTTTCTATAGTAATAGTAATGCAAAAACCTCCTTAGTATTAGCATTAGGTGAACAATACTAATACAGTAATGAGAGTTTTAAATAATTTATTTTTCAACCAATTTGTATTCATTTTACATAAATTTTTTCTGCACATAATAATAATAATAAGTAATAATGTAAATTTATAAAAATAAAAATTTAGTGGCAATTGTAAACTTCGTATTGGAAATAGAGAGTGACACCCCATATTGGAAATAGAGAGTGACACTCCATATTGGAAATAGAGAGTGACACTCCATATTGGAAATAGAGAGTGACACCCCATATTGGAAATAGAGAGTGACACCCCATATTGGAAATAGAGAGTGACACTCCATATTGGAAATAGAGAGTGCCACTCCATATTGGAAATAGAGAGTCCCACTCCATATTGGAAATAGAGAGTGACACCCCATATTGGAAATAGAGAGTGCCACTTTATATTGAAAATAGGGGATTCAACAGTAAAAAATTTTTCTCCTGTCACGAATGGAAAACGAAATAAAAAAAACAAAACGAGAGAGTGACACTCCATATTGGAAATAGAGAGTGTCACTTTATATTGGTATCTTCTATTTTTCAGGTGGTTGTCCTCTCATCCTAACTAATTTTCTTTTTCGTTCGAGAACAAGAATGTCTTAAGTACTGGCTTCATAATAATAATTGAATCCGGTAAATTGTTCCGGTAGTATAAAGAAAATTTAGAATGTGTCAATTTTCGTGTTCATCACATCGACACATGCTAGACACAATTCACTGTCATCTTTGTCGTAACGAGGTAATGTATAACGCACGGACGTCAGATAGCCTGATGGATGCGCAAATGACTTGGATATGCCGTGAATACGGATGGAAGGGAGACTGGAAATTTGGGTAAGAGGAAAGATGAAACATAAAGACAATTAGTATGAATTTGAAAAGATCACAAAATGATATGCACGTCAAAACAGTTGAATAACACCCACTTCACGTCAAAGCCCTGATGATTTCATCTTCGGGCATGTAAAACTCTATTCCTCCTCGCTCTCAGCAAACGTCCAAATCGTTCGACAAAGCTCTACGCGCATCGTCTGTATGCATGTCAGACACAAAGGTGAGGGAAGGATATAAGAAAAAGGGCATTGGGGTAAAACAAAAAACAATATGAGAAAAGACGTAATGACAATGGTCAAAAAAAACGTAGATCCTTCACGGGTGTTGTAACAAACCTGCAATGATGCTTTCGGGTTATAAACCCAACCTCCTTCGGCACTCGACAACATATCTTTTACTTTCTGAAATGAATTCAGGCCTGCAGCATAGTACTCAAAGTCGTCGGGGACCCCATCCCGAAGTACGGACAATGAATTCCCAACGTCGCCACTCTGAGGATTCGTTGACTGTGCATTCTCGGTAGTCAGGAGATTATTGAGACTCGTGGACGATGGATAAAGCTTTGAATGTTTGTAAAGTCGGGTAGAGTGTTGTCTGGTGATTTAATTTATAAAAGAGCGAATTTGACGGCAGCAGGGTGCTTGTATCTCTTGGGTTGACGGGGATCGGAAACATAGCATTGATCTTTGGTTCAGTCGTGCTAATGTTAGCATTACCATATTCCTGATCTGAAAAAAAAAAAAAGAAAACTTTCGTGAGTCACTCGGATGGATAATATGAAATGCACATATTAGGACGGAACTTATATCCATAACTCTCTAACTAATTACCATTTATGAATCCGTGTTGACTAGTTTCCAATTGTTACTTTGAATTTCCGTTAAAGCAGCAAGTGTTTGGGATAATGTCGTTTGCTTGGTTGTCAAAAGTTTTGAGAAGCTCGTCGCTTGCCGAAGATAAGGCAGTTGCTTTACAGTTTCGTGCTGCGTATAGAACGAAAAACAAGATTAATGCGATTGTTAGAATCTGTAATCTTGTATTAGGATCAGCGGTCACCTTCATATCAACTCTATATTGAAATCTTCTCTTCTCCTTTATGTCATCGCCCATCACCGCCCACCACCGCCCACCACCTTTGACCAGTTCTTATCTCTTGAAGACAATATGGCTATAAAGTCTACTGTCTATAAAGTAAATGTCGCAAATAGAGGTAGTGCGCGAAAGTCTATCCGAACTTGTCATTGACTTTGTCCTTATTAATGAGCGCTTGTGTACGTACCAGTGTATTGACATGCTACTGCTGGAGGATTTAGAGCATTTTGAAGTAGGTAATAGTAATAGGTAAAAACTTAGCACAATACCTCCTGCATAATAATACGTCAACAATCATGTGATATTATGCGAGAAAATAATTCAGAGATTACTCTAAGAAAGCAGGAGTCGAAGAGGGAAATGCCTTTGAAAATATTCAGACGATTATGAAATCAAAACTTTATGAAAAAAAAGGTGACTGAAGAATTTCTAGCATACCGTTGTCTTGTAATGAAAGCGAGATATCAATTGTATCGGTACAAAAAGACTACAGGTAAAGCAACGGAGTATATCAAGTTGTTATTTTTAATGAGAGTGAACGGATATTGGTTGATTTACAACACAAATTTATCGGTAAGTGTAAATGAGTTTATAGTACCTCGATTCCGTATCTTTCTCTCATCCCTATCGCTTTGTTCCATCACTTCGACAGTATTGCATATTTACTCAACGGATCAAGAAAACATTTTGCTATCGAATTCGGTATAAACGCCAGGGACAATTTTTGAATCAACGAGTAAACAGCCTTTGGCTTGTAAATACGGCTATCAACATTTAAAAACTATGCAATGTGTATGTCTTTTCTCCCATATTGTCAGTAAAAAACGTGAAATAACTAAAGCTTCAATAGCGTTAATATCGGATATGCATGGAAATCTCCCGCGAGGAAGTATGTCAACTTTGCTGTTATTTTTTCATACAATACTACACACAATCAGTGAACGGATGATCGGCATACTATTGTGATATATATCAGACCTGAAATAATTTTTCCTACAAGAGACGTTTTCAATTAACAGATTGCTTTTTGAGTGGCTGATTGACGTACAAACAACTCAGCATATTAAATTAAAGACTCGATAAATCTTAGGCAATAGTCAATTTCCATGTAACAATATTGTTAGGCAGTGGATTACTATCATTAGCACTATGTTATTAGAATCTTTGGCATCCGAAAATTATCTAATTTGATCAATGTACACTCATGTTGATAATTTGAGTGATCAGGTAAGAATATTTTTATTACAATTAATACTATTGTGGCCTCCGCATTAACTCTGCTTGAGCCTCGAAGGACCACCACCGCTGTGCGGGTGTCATGTTATGCCACATGTTGGCGGCCATCGTTGATATCGCCCCTGGGTCCGCCGGGTTGATGGTTGCGGCAATTGTCATCCGAAAGACCAAAAACGCGTTTCTATTCTGCCGCCGGAGCCTATGTTCGTCTTCCTCGTGGATTTGTAGACGTTGTTGGTGGCGGCGTGAGTGGAGTGGCATTTTTTTTTTTGGTTTTTTTTGTGAGAGAGTGAGTGAGAGAGAGAGAGAATTTATTTTGTGCGTGGGTGTGTGCGACAGCGATAGAGAAAGATAAAATTCGAAGATTGGAGGACATATGGGTTTTGGCCGTTCTTATAAAGCTTTTGAGCAATTTATTTCATGTACAATTTTATTAAATTTTAATTGTATGGCGTATATATTTTAATATAAATTTCTATTACATTAGCATAAACTTATTAAATCATATTTATGTACAAATTACGCAAATATGTAGCAGCGTTTGTGAGTTAGAATGGTAAAACTACCATTGAATAAAATTACTAATACATTTACAAGGGGCAAATTGCTATATTGTTAATACACACACAATTGTTAGTGCGTTTGTTTCATAATTCATTGCAATATACTTGGAACCCCAATAAAATAATAATAATTATGTGAAACAGATTTACTGTTATAATAGTTATTATACGCACTATATGAGTCACATATGGCGTAATAAACACGCAGTAGAAACTGAAACATAGGGAGGTGCAGCATCATGCTCTATGGAAAACAACAAAAATGGTTGTCTCTATGCAACACGCAACGTATGTATGTTTTTATATAACAAGTTCAATAACTCGCGTCAGCAATTGCATTTAAACTCTTGCAAAGTCAAGCAACTGTTTCCTAATTATTAGTGTCGTGTTAATTTGTGTGTTGGTGATTCTAGCATTATCTCATATAAATAAATTAAAAAATTATATATGCATATTCTTATATAAAAATAGTTAAGCAGAATTTACGTAGTACAATTCAATGCTGTGGGAATGTGAGAGAATGTGAAAAAAATTGCTTGTGAACGAATAGCTTTCTTATCATTGTCCCATATCGGATAGACATGTACGAATAAAAGTAAATTTATTACAGCTGTGCTGTACACGACTAGTACAAAGATCGATTTGGTTAATGGGAAAGGGGGTACTGATTACATCGTAAACTATAGCAAAGAGGCTACCATTGAAAAGTCAAAGTGTCTATTGCTGTGCCCTGATAAAATATTTATACCATTAATGTTTATACATGAGTTAACAATAACCAGTAAAATGAAATATATTAACAACATAAATGTGATAATAACCGTATACAATGGTTTTTATTTGACCTCGTAATAGTCGCATTTTGT